AACCCAGGAGTTTGAGATTGCTGTGAGCTGGGCTGATGCCACGGCACTTACTCTAGCCTGGGCAACAAAGCGAGACTCTGTCTCATAAAAATAAATAAAAAAAGAAAGAAAAAAAGAAAGAAAATGAGATGTAGAGCCTAAAGAAAATGAGATGTAATTGTCTCTAGGTTTTAAAAAAAATACTTTCATTATCAAATTTTAACCATTACTGTTACTTTCTCTATAGTTTTGGAAGTAAGTCTTCACTCAATGTTGTCCATAGGTTCTTTTTTTTTTTTTTTTTTTTTTTTTTTGGCAGAGTCTCTCTTTGTTGCCCAGGCTAGAGTGAGTGCCGTGGTGACAGCCTAGCTCACAGCAACCTCAAACTCCTGGGCTCAAGCAATCCTTCTGCCTCAGCCTCCCGAGTAGCTGGGACTACAGGCATGCGCCACCATGCCTGGCTAATTTTTTGTATATATATTAGTTGGCCAATTAATTTATTTCTATTTATAGTAGAGACGGGGTCTCGCTCTTGCTCAGGCTGGTTTTGAACTCCTGACCTTGAGCAATCCGCCCACCTTGGCCTCCCAGAGTGCTAGGATTGCAGGTGTGATCCACCGTGCCCGGCCAGTCCATGGGTTCTTGGAAACTGATTTTAAGGGAAACGACTTAAAATGAAACCAATTTTGGCATAGAAACAAGAGTTAAGTTCTTTCTTCGGAAGGATGGGCTGAAAAAAAAAATTATTTTCCTATGGCATGTATCTGGTCCCCAAAACACCAATTTGGTCACGCCGGTTAAGCTGATATCTTTGGTTGTGGAAGCAAAAAAAACGGATAAAACCCATATGGTTGTGGGGAGTGCAACTCCACACTGACAGCGGCCTTGGCTGGGAATTGATTTTTTTCTCCCGTCATCAACATTATAATGAAACAACATTGAATGGAATGACATCATTCAAGGACCTGCTGTACATATGCTCATTGCAGAAAACAGAAAACACAGGAAAGTATAAAGGAAAAACCACAGCACCTACCTGGTGTCACCAGCCTTGCAGCCGCAGTTAGCTCTGCAGCGCGGGCCTATCGGTGCCTCCAGGTACCCGAGTGCCTACGTGGGCTTGGAATCTGTGCGGGGTGCCCCGGCGCCGCGCTCCCAGGCCCTGCATGGAGTGTAATTTCAGCTTGATAAATCCTGAGCTCGCCTCTGCCTTGCCTCATCTTCAGCTAATGGATTTATGCCTTTATCTGACATCTATTTAAAAAATGATTTTTAAAATAGTTTTTGAGAATATGTTATAGGCATGTGATACAAAATTCAAGGAGTTGTGAAGGGGACACAGTGAAATGGAAATCTTCCCACCCATCCCCAACTGCCCTCACCCTTGACCGGAGGCTGTGTTGTGGTCATTGTCTTGTAGCACTTTCACATTCGTTCTGTGTATACACAAGCACACGTTCTTGTCCTGGGTGTTGTTCTTTTTTTTTTTTTTTTTTTTTTTTGAGACAGAGTCTCGCTTTGTTGCCCAGGCTAGAGTGAGTGCCATGGCGTCAGCCTAGCTCACAGCAACCTCAAACTCCTGGGCTCGAGTGATCCTTCTGCCTCAGCCTCCCGGGTAGCTGGGACTACAGGCATGCGCCACCATGCCCGGCTAATTTTTTTTTTATATATATATCAGTTGGCCAATTAATTTCTTTCTATTTATAGTAGAGACAGGGTCTCGCTCTTGCTCAGGCTGGTTTTGAACTCCTGACCTTGAGCAATCCGCCCGCCTCGGCCTCCCAAGAGCTAGGATTACAGGCGTGAGCCACAGCGCCCGGCCTGGGTGTTGTTCTTAACACAAATAATGCTGTACAGCACGCGGAGTTTTGCACCTTACATTTTTCACATAGCACTGTCTTGAAGATGATTCCTTATGGGCATGTAGAGAGCTTCCTTGGTTTTTTTTTTTTAACTGCCGTGTAGTTTCCTTTGATTGTGGAAGGGTTCTTAGTGGCTGCTCTTGAGGGAGTTTAGTTTGCCGCTGTTCTTTTGCTGTGGCAGACAGGCAGTTAACAACCCAGAGCTTGAAACATTTTGCACATTCAGTTATATCTGCGGGGTGATTGGGTGGGATTGTGGAGTTGCTGTTTTCAGGAGGAAAAATTAATCACTCCACAACCAGTTCTCTGGTTTCTTTTCCTCCCCCAGGCCCTCCTATCCCTCCTTATCCCTCCTCCCCTTTAGTTTCATAATTCAGTTTCTGAACTTTCTGGTTAAGGCAGGATTTCGGCAGACTGCTCCTTAGAGTGTCAAGGTTGTTGATAGCTTTGTTCTGCAGAAGTTGCCCACAGACAAATGGGCCCTGGAAGGTTATTTTGTTTTCCTGAGAGGCCATGGCCGTGTGCACAGGGTTCTTCCACCGGAGGGAATGTGGTTTTCTACCTCGTTCCCCCTCACACAGAGGCCCTGGAGGCTGGAGACCCTTCTTGGTGCTGCCAGAGCTGGCTGTGGCCCACCTAGTGGTGGATGTGTTGGCCCTGGGCCAGCTCCTGCACTTCCTGAGTCCCCTGTTTGCTCATCCATCCATCCGAGTAATGGGGTGAGCCTGTCCCTCCCTCACGGGGTGCAGAAGGCATCCGTGAGCAGTGAGTACCACCCAGGGTGGCTAGTGCAAGTGTGTGGCCCGATGGGGACCGAAAGGGGAGCCGAGTCCCCTCTTTTCTGCCAGAGTCACAGTTTATTCTGTTCTTGGTGCCTGAGCTGCAGAGGAACCGTGGTGGCTCCTGGGAGCTCAGCCCCACTTAGGATTTCAGCCTAGGATTTCAGGATTTTCTCTAGATTACTTTTTTTGTTGCTTTCTTATTTTATGTATTCCATCTGTTTTCAAAGAGACTTTTTTAAAAATTTAGGACTGGGGGAGGGAGAACTGTCTGGGATGATGTAAAATGTGGACCGATTGGAAGTGACCGCAGTTGGCTTTGTAAAGAGACGAGAGCCACATGCCTGCAGGGCCAACTCAGAAGGAAACTGAGGCCACAGCCCAGAGCCCGGTGGAAGCCTGCTCCAGCTGCTGTGGGTCACTCATGCACCTCTGTCCCCTGCCTGTCCCGCCGTGTGGTCCACATCCTCATTCATTTGGGAACGGGAGGCAGCGAGCTGGAGCCTAGGCTGGCCGTGGGCGGGTCCCCACAGGGATGCTCACTGTGGTTTTCTCTCCCCTGCAGTGGGGCCGGGGCTCTGAGGTCTCCGCAGGTGCTCAGAGGACTGGTGCAGCCCAGGTTCCTCATGATGCTGTCTGTCCCCTTGTTGTGGGCTTTGGTGGCCCAGAGGCTATGCTGTTGTGTGTCAAGCCCATCCCTCATGGATTCATGAAAGCGGATGGATATTGGCTGCCATTCCTTCAGGAACAGAAGAGGGGCCAAGTGACAGTGAGGGCCCTGAAACCATCAACTACGATGGTTCTCAAACTGGATTCCTTGGGGGCCCAGGGTTCTGCTGAGTTGGGGGTGGTGGTTGGAGGGAAGGTCCCTGGGTGCTCCCCACAATGGGACCTGTTCCGCTCTTGTTGACCTTATTGTGTGACTCCTTTGTGAGGTTGGTAGGTGTCACATCAGCTGTGCCGTGTGATGTGAGGTTGCTCATGGTTGCCCAGAGCTTCCTGTGGGGCTTCGTGCCCATCTCCTGCTTGAACAGTGAGCCCCTCCGGGGCCCAGACTGTGGCTGTTGGATCTGCTGTGCGAGTGCGGGGCGCTGAACCGAGCTGAGTTCTTGCGTGTTCACGCCTTCACTTACCAGCAGCTGTTTGTGAGTGTCTGTGTGCCAGGTGGGCACCATGGCTAGGCACAGGCACACACGGCTTTTTTTAAATTATTGAAAATAAAAACTAATTTATGAGTTAGATAGTATTACCTTTTTATGTAAATGGTTTCAGAATTTTTAAAACTCAGATTACTCTTCTTGTTGATTAATATATTTTTTCCTAGGGCCAAAAATTTATTGCACATAATTTATAATACTATATACAAAGTAGAAAAGACGACATTTTCACATTTCTTAACACGCTTAACACATGGTTTTAAAATTTGGCACAGTCCCTGCTCCAAGGAGCCTGGGCGAGTAAACTACAGATGCCTGGCCGTGCCTGGTCGCAGCCTTCTCTGGGCATCTGCTGGAGGCCCTGCCTTTCTTTCCAGCAAAATGCTCATGGCATGCTGTCTCCAGCACCTTTGTCCCTACATATCCTAGTGGCCCTGCACCAGCGTTCGTCCTGTCCCTGGGTGACGGTGATCAATACAAAGGGTTGGGAGCGTGGTGGCCCCGAGTTCTTCAGGAGTGTTGTGGGTGGGGTGGGGAGGGTAGAGTGGGTCAGAGAAGGCCTCTTGGAGAGCCTCTGTCTGGGCCGAGTTCAACAGGCTGGGGTGCGAGGTGAGCACCCAGGCAGGAGACAGCCCCGTGTGCCGGAACTGCGCAGATGGCGCTTGCTGAGCTTGCAGTAAGAACTGTGGGGCACAGGAGAGAAGGGTGGGCGAGTCAGCAGGGAGCCTTGTGAGCCCCGGGCAGACCCAGACCCAGGCCACGAGGCTCTTAAAATCAGGTGGGGTGAGTGAGGGTCTGGGGCCAGGCTGAGGCTTTAGACCTGCTGCGGGAGGAGGGCGTGGAGGACCCGGGTTGAGCCTGGCAGGGACAGCAGTGATTCGGGGGTGCTGGGTCCCACGGCAGTCTGTGCTGGAGCTGTGACTGTGGACACCCCAGGATTAGAGGGAGACAGCTGATAGCCCGCCGTGGGGTCTCCATAGGACTCCAGCCAAGTCCCTCCAGGAGCCAGCCCCCTCCTTCAGCTGGGAGGTGGTTTTGAGGGGTGACTAGGAGCTCATAAACCTTCCCCTTGAAAACTGTTCCGGGGGCGGCCTGAGAGGTGCAGCGCCCGCTCCCCTCCTGAAGCACTCCTCACAGCCCCCTCCGCTGGCTGCAGCGGACCTTCAGGAAGGCTGTGTTCTGCCTGCTGGAGTAATGTGTATTTTCTCTGTTTTTCTCCGCAGGAAGCGAGGGATAGAAGTTGTGCAGGTGAGTACAGACCACGCCCTCACGGTTTTCAGGTTGAGGAGGGGCGGCTGTCAGTGCCCACCCTGCCCCTCTCCTCAAGCCCCTGGGCACTCTCGTCACGTTCATCTTGTGTTGAACTCTCCCCCCGTGGATCTGGTGGGATTGCTGCCCAGGCTGGGCGCAGACTCAGGGCGGTGGTTGCTCGGGTTTGGAGCGTTGCCGTGGCTTTGCTGGTGGAAGGGGCCGACGGGGGAGAGGGTGAGCTTGGGAGTTCCAGGGCGTGCACGGCAGTGCCCAGGTGAGGCGGGGCACGGCAGCCACCCAGCCAGATGTCCTGTTGTCCTGTCCCCTGTGTTTCTTTACCCCAGGTGGATGTGGGTAAAGTGCTCATTAGTGGGGGAAGGGTGGACACATGGAGGAAGGGAGGGAGAGAGGATGGCGGAGGAAAGATGGAGGGAGGGAGGGCAAGAGAAGGAAGGATGGATGGTTGGAGGGAGGGAGGAGGAAGAAGGCGGCAACATGAAAACACACGCAGACCCCGTGTGAGGGGCAGCTGTAACGTCTGCCCAAAGCTGTCCCTGGCATCTAACGGGTACTTAGTAAGACCGAGGTGGCCTGGCTGAGGTCTCTGATGCCCTCGCCGTCTGTCGAGGGTGACTCTGCTGCTCCATGCGGCTGTGCTGGCGTTCCTTCTCCTTGCCCTGCAGGCCTCATCTGCCAGTAGCTGCAGAGGGAACCAGGCTGGGGACTAGATCAGGGCGGATGAGACGCTGCCAGAGTATCTGAAGGAGGTTTCCAAAAAGCCTGCAGGGAGCTCTCAGAGCTCATCTTTGTTAACGTCAGCGCCAGTCCTCCCCCAGACAGGAGGCCCCTCGTGAGCAGCCACAGGAGAGTGGCCTCCCATTCCTGCAGGTTCGGCATCCCAGGCCCAAAGGTGCGGGCGGAGGCCCCAGAGCATCCCGCTCCTGGGACCAGAGTGGTGGGAGTGGTTGGCAGGGTGGGCAGGGCGCCTCTGTCCAGCCTCTCTGGTGAGGGTTGCTGAATTCTTCCTCCTGACCTCTCTCCTGGTAGTTTGTGGGTTGAGCTTGTCACCAGGAGGCTGAGGTTTGGTAGGGAGGTAATTTCTAGAAGCCTCTCATCCAGGTTCATCCAGGCTCTGCAGCGCTGTATTATCTGCACTGCAGTTTTCTGTGGGCCTTCATTTCCCCATCTATCCAAGCTGGAATTCAGGAGTGGCTCAGGGCTGAGCTTTCAGGGGCCGTGTCTGATTAATCAGCCGTGGCTGCCTAGAGGATTTAAAATCTGTGAGTGGGTGAGGACAGGGTTTGATCGCTAATGCCTGCCAAGGGTACAGGCGTGGGCTGGGCAGGTGCGGCCGTGTGCCTCACCAAGGGGTCAGATGCTCTCTTGTCTTAGACCGTTCCTGCTCCAGGAGGCAGAGGCTTATATTTGCCTCTTAGCCCTTTCTGATGTCTGGCTTGGAAATCCACAGGTCCTTTGCTGGTGCTGCTTTACCCTCGGTAAGCCCTTGCCTGGTGGTTGAGCTGTAGTGTGTGCAGGAAGGCCCTGGGGCTGCCTTGTGGTTCGACACAGCCGTTTGTGAGGCTCCCAGGGACTTGCTTTTGGGAGCCATTTATAGAGTTTATAGGCAGTGAGTTCACGTGTTCCCCAAAATGCACACTGCTTGAAGGGGGAAAGAAAGGTGTCTCCCTTCATCCATACCTGATCCGTTCACACCTGTAACACAGTGGGACGTCACCCCCGCCACACTGGGAGAGAGGATGTGAGAGACAAGTAGGGGTTGGTGGGTTCGGTTTACATGGCTTCCTGGGAAGATTTGGACTGAAATCTTTAATCCACTTAGTCTGTGGGTGGAGCAGGAGACTGGAGCCATTGTGTCAGAATGTGCTGGGCAGAAGGGTTGTGAAATCTTTCTAGCTGGCTTTTTTTTTTCCTTTTCTTTTCACATACAATCATTCCCAAGTGAAATCTTTATAGATGTGTCTGCTGTTCATTTTGATGGTGACTTAGGGCAGGAAATGGTGGCTGGGGACCAGAGCGAAGCCAAACTGGACGCTTTCCACTCCGGCATCTAAAAATAAAATCTACCGCGATGCCTCTCCCGTTCATAAACTCCTGGCATCCCTGAGAACTTTTACGTTTTGAAGAACTTAAAAATTTTAAGACATTGAGACGGGCTCTTTGCAAAAATTGGACGCCAAGCCGCTTGGCTGCTTTTTCAAAATCAGCCGTGCTTCTGTGTGCCTGAACCCCAGGCCGCGGGGCCCTGGGAGCAGCGAGTGATGAAGGGCGAGCGTCACCTGGCCACTCGTGCCATGCGGTGTTTCTTGTGTGAGGTCCTCTGGTGGGCTTGTCCCCCTCGTAGAGTCACCCCAGCAGTGTGGGTGGCGGTGCGCCCCCTTTAACGGTGAGGACACGGAGGCTCAGTGTCGTGACTTCTCTTGGGGAATCAGCTGGCGAGTGGGAGGGTTGGGAGTCCATTTGTCTCAAAGGCCCCTGTTTGTTTTGCTAGCTAGGTCTCCTCTACCTACTGGGCTGCTCTACTTACCAAATGCTTCCTTGCTTTGGCTACTGTCTTAATAAAGGTTGTTGGGGCAGAGGGTCAAGACTCAGGACTAGAGAAGGCTGGTGAGATCCTGGGGTGTTTGTCCCCATCAGGGGAGTTATTTCTCATCTAGCTGTCTAATGGCAACAGTAACAAGGTCAGTGCTTAACATGTGTTGTGGTCAAGGATGTGCTAGGCGTTGTGCCATTTACTTTAAAGTAACGCTTGTGTGTGACCTTCAGAGGTGGGGGTGGGAGCAGATTTAAGAAAGTAAATTTTGCACCTCTTCTGCTTCTTCCCGTGCCTGTCTGCACAGTTGCTGTAGGTAGGTAGGTACCCTACCCTCCTTGTATACTCCCCTTCCCTGTGCCCCAGGCACCCCTTTCACATCCTCCTCCTCCCCTCTGTGCACGGGCAGTGCACACGGTGGTGAGGGGCAAGACCGTCTGGGTTCCAGTTCCTGGCTGCACGACCTGGCTTGTTGCTAAGCCACTCTGTCAGTCTGCCCATCTGTAAAGTGGGGATAATCGTGGTGCCTGTTTCTGGCATTGTGAGGACTGAGTTAATTCAGGCAAAGTAGTCGGCACCAGGCCTGGCACACCAGGAAGCTGCTGTCTGCAGCAGAACGGCACGCTGGCTATCCACGGGCAGACCTTCACCCGTGGCGGGGAAGCCCTCAGGGCCTAAAACCTCCCAGTCATTGTCATCGTCAGCCACGGAGGTATTAATATTGCTCGCAGCACAGTTGAAGGAGGACCTGATCAAACTGTCAGCTGATAGCACCTTAAGAATGATTTTTGGTAGCAGATTACTATAATCCTTACATGTAATTCTAAAGGAATCCAAAGAATTTGCTATGGCAAATCTCTTCCATCTTTTTCTTGAATAAGTGGTTTCAATACTTGCATCTATAAAAATTGCAAAATGGAGATAGAATTGATAAACCCTGTCTTATTCTAGCAATAGGCAATAGTCATCTGTAGATAAATGAAGTAATGAAAACCATTTCTATTCGTCTCTTCAGAGATGTGTTTCTAGTATGGTTTATTTTTATGCATATTACTTACACCATTTTGTAATGTGTTTCTGCCATGTTGATCAGTTTTGTAGTAATTATAATAATAATTCAATCCAGGAGAAAATTTTTGACATTTACAGCTTTATGATTACATGAAATTAAAAACAAGAACATCTATATATGTTTTTTGACCCAGTAGTATACTAGGATAATCAATAAAAGGCTTTCAAACATAAAATACACTGTGATAGTATAAACTTCTCTGAGGAAAGTGGATTGGAAAATGGAGTTTGAGGAGGAAAAAGGAACATTTTTAAATTTCCAACTGTTAATGAAGGGCTTGATCATGTAATTTTAAAATGGATGATGGTGAACCTCAAATCGCTATGATATTTGGATTCCAGTGGATCCATTTAAAAGAGAAATAGTAACAGTTTTATTTTAAAATGTTAATATTTACAATATGTTGGAAATTACATCCCCTACAAGTATTTAAATGTACAATGAGAAATTTTAGATGTCAACTTAAAACTGTGCAAATAGGTATATATGGTTCTAAACATTTATTTTGGGAGGTTTGGTTTGAAGGCCACTGCTTTAGGACGTTACCCTGTTTACTTCTCAGAACCAGGCTCTGAGGCAGGTGCTTTCTTGGAGAGGAACAGCAGTGGGCCTCAGGCCCAGGTCTTCAGGAGGCCCCTGTGGAGCTAGGCCAGGCTGACTCCAGGGTCTCACCAACCCCTGTGACCTAGAACGGACTGCCAAGATTTACTTGCCAGTAGACTAGTCTGTGGACCGACTGGCCTCCCTTCACCTGGTCTGTTAGACTGAGTGATGATACTAACGAAAACATGCTGCTTCCTCTCGGGCAGGAAGCCACAGGTGAGCCAGAACCCAGGCAGCTCAGGGGCAGTGGAAGTCCTGCTTTGTGTCCAGTGCTGGGGCTTAGGCTACAGGACAAGGGGAGACAATAGCAAGGGCTGTGGGACCAGATGCCTCCCCACTTCTTGTCCTGAGAGGCCATCTGCGTCACTGTGGAGGTTGCAGGTACCTGTCTGCCTCACTTTCCTCTTCTGTAGTCTTATAATGAGGATCCTGAACACAGGCTGCCGCCACTCCCCCATTTCAGGTGTTCATAGTTGGTGGCACTCAGCCTTTGAAGTGAGAGCCCCTCACAGCCAAGGGGTGTGGATGGGCAGACCGGGCTCTCGGGCAGTAGCACGCAGCAGACCTCCTCTGGATACCTGCTGTGGACCAGGCTGCAGGTGCTGGGGACTCACACTGGCCAAAGCCAGGTCCTGTTAGCTCTGTGATGCCTGCAGGCTGCAGCCAGTTGCCAAGCTGGGCAAGGACACCAGACAGGCACAGATGAGGGCCCTTACTGAGCCTTGTAAGTCAGGAACGCTTCCTGGAAAAGGAGCCTGGCTAGTGGCGATG